GCTGTAGCATTCAAGTCTTTTCCTTTAGCAATCTCTCCACTTTTTTTCTGAATCTCTGGTTATCCTTCAAATATATCCTTTGATGTCTCCATTTGAATTTAATGAATCTTGATAGTTTTGCTGGAGTATGAGGAGTCAGTTGAGSTTCTGCTTTCTGTAACATGATTCATACAACCATCTTCTCTACTATCACCAAAACGGCAGCTTATATAAATGATATCTTTGATGTTCATATTAATTCCAGTCTTGGAAKAACGTCAACATTACAAGAATAAAATTCAACTTTGTTTTCATRTTTTAAGTCTTTTTAGAATACAGTACTTACAGATACCAAGGATGCATCATGACTTGCCATACTTGTTCAAACAGTACAAGACTTCTGCTTACAGAAAACAGACTTCTATTTCCATAATATATGTATCAATAATTTAGACTACTGACCTATACATAATAATCAATATAACAATAATGCTGACATTATAGATATATTCAATAACAAGAAATTGTCACAACGTTGTTTTTAATATCAGACTAATACTTTGATATTAATCTGATACTATAAACTATCAACAATTATTATCCAAGATCTCTTAACTATCACTACAAAACAAATTCACATCATAAAGTATAATAATCATAAATATCTTGACCTTAAGCTATACTTAAGTTCATTATTTTAAGTATTTTAACATCTCTTTGATTATTAAAGATAAAAATTTATCATCGTTACTTGATGCCCTCAATATAGCTTGCCTGTAACCTGGTAGCCATGGTGACATATTGATTGACATTGAGTGCACACTGTTGTCACTTTGAGACACACGCACAGTGGTGCTGACTGTGGAGTGTGATCAACATGGGTGCTGGTAGAAGTCCATGTATAGGCTGAGTGGAGGTAACCAAGGTGAGAAAAAAAGGAAAACAAATAAGTCAGTTTAAAAACAACAGAAAAATAACATAWTGTAGATTAATGCAACTTCTTTACAACTTAAACAACATGAAGGACAATGTAGTATATTGAAATGCACAGTATATCATAATGGTCGAGCAAAGCATTGGCAGATGCAAAAATAAATGTAGATTTACAAAACAACAAATGCGTGAACAAGAAGAGTCATTGTTGTTTGAAAAGTTCTTATGAAGCAAGGTGATGGATGATGCACAATAGGGCAACAAATGTGAATGAAACCGTTATGATCAATTGATAAATCTTACATGATAAACTCTATATTTTTTATAGTCCTTGATGTACTATTCAAGATGATGGATTACGAAATAGACGCAATGGAAAGAAGAAAGGTAATATGTAGGAATTAAGAGGAAGTTAGGAATGAAAACCAAGACTGAATTGTTTACAACATAATTCCACACTCAAACTTGCAGTATAATTTTCAACTCTTTTGTTTTGCTTTCAAAATTTGTCCTTTACATTCAAATCCACTCAGGGCGTGTGCAACAACATTTGATATTTATTTTTATCTCACAAAGTTCCTTGCACTTTCGTCAAGACTCATAAACACATGCAGCAACTTGCCAGGCAAACTAGAGTGACTTTTGTWTGACTGTGCAAAAACTACAGCACATATGCCAATAATGAACCATGCAGTWATGCAGACAGTAATGTTTTGGTGGGCAATGAGTGTAAGGTCAATGCAGTGTCTACAACGTGTTACATATGCTTCATAGTCATACTAATTCAGCTCTATTGCACTGATACTTGSAAAGAAACTTGCCATATTGTATGCAAAACAATAGCATTTCTTTCTCTTTACAACATTCAATAATGAAATGAGTTCCAGCATATGATGCAGCGCTCTTTTCTATCATTAAAAGCATGTTAACTAAATGGTGAAATCTAATGAACATTATGTGTGTAATTAAATCTATGTGATATGAAGAGCTGCAAAATTGCTGCATGTATTGCCGAACCTGACATAGCAACGATAAAAAGAAAAATATTTACCTGTTATTGCGCTTCTGTTTAATGTAATGGAACACGTTTATAATGTCTCGTATTCGTCGAGGTGCTTCTTCGATCTTTGCAGCGAGGAAGATGCACGCCATTGCGTACACCTAGCAAAAACAACATACACTTCTGTGATTTTTGCTTCACTTTAAAACAAGTTACCCTCTAATAAATGAATAAATAATTGTACATTTTTAAGTGTCGTAATACTGATAACCAAATAGTACACTTTGCTTTTTATTTTTATGTTTTATTTCAATTTGATTTAGTTAAGCTGCGGTGAGAGAAATAAAAGTTTTCTCTTTCTTCAACTGAAGATTGAAAGTTGAGAGTAGAATTAAATAGAATTTGCACTTAGAAAATAATAACAATAATAAACAGCTAGCAATACATGTACTCCACTCTCATGCAGTAATAGAAAATCATAATATTTTGGAAAAACTACGAAAAATCCGAGTAGAATTCGTTCACACGTGCACACCATTTCATCACAGATCCAAACAGAAGATGTTGTCATATTATGTACATTTTATGTTACCTAGCAATTATCTTCATAAATTACTCAGTGAAAATCTTACTTTGCCAGACAGAGACATTTTCAGTGCACAAACCATGCATATTTCTCGTTCATATTTAGCTTTCGGCAGAGCGGAAGCAACAAGAACGAGCAACAAACTCTTTAAACAAGAAATGAATAACTTTGACCTACCTCTGCGTCATGTTTTACGAACGATTTTGAAAAGTAAAAACGCTGAAATAGAACTTGTCCAGTAGCCATTGCTACCTGGGGGTTTTCAAAGAAGAATCAGGTCAGTAAAGCGTTCAAATGCGAAAAGAAAAAGGCCTCGAAAACTGGCAATTTTACAAACCTGCGGTAACTTGAGCAGAATTCCCGACGCTTGAATGAACTCACAACCAACAATTCGTAAATCTATTTCGACTTCTTTRTCAAGTCCATCTTTCATAGATGGAGTTTGTATAAGTTTTTCTTTCGGTAAMAGACAGTTTTCGAGAGAAATAACGACTTTTCCGTACTCTTCTTTCCCCCCGTTCACTGCGGACGCCATTTTGAACTTTGGTTTCGAAAACGTCCAACCGACGTCACATGGTTCGAGGCGCGAACTTGAATTTCATCCAAATAAGGGAAAAATCGGAAATTTCACGATCTCTTCCGAGCAAATTCAGAAGTTTACCTTGATGAAAGGAATGCTAAAATGATTGCTTCTTCAATCAAACAATCAATATAAAAAAATGTCAAACATATACAKAAAGCTCTCTGGTCTTTATTTATCAAAAAACACTTCMTAAACCAATTTCGTGTTTTCTRTCATGGTCCGAGTGYTTTCCGAAAATCGACTTCCGTTSTCGGAATTTCATCGAGCGCGTTGCTGCATGGGATTAAAGAACCAGAAGCCTTTGCAATACAACGAAACAAAAATGTCGGACGAAGGAGATGACCTTCTGGCAAAAACATCAGAATTTGTTGACAAAAATTTAAGAATAATAAGGGTAAGGCCTTTCAAAATCAAAAAACTCACTTCAACAGGAAAAATATTTTTGACTTACTTTTGATAAATACATTTTCTCGTAAATTTTGATAGCACCACAGGGATCCCAAATATGCAGTAAAGTATAAGGTGATTCCTAATTTTGTTTT